TCCAACCTTCGGCCTCCCACTCCCCACCTCCTGTGGGCCTTCACCACCCTTAGAGGCCTCAACTGTCCTTTTCTCCCTGTTCAAGAACACCAAGCTCTTTCTAGCTCCCAAGATTTTGTGTATGCTGTTCCCTCTGCCTCGAACACTGTTCCCAATCCTGCTTGGGTATGGCCTCACTCCAGGTCACAATGGAAATGTCTCTTCCCCAGGAAAGCACCCTTCCACCTAGACAAGACCCCACATGATCATCTTTGCTCCCTCCACCCATTCTTCACGCTTTGATATGATTACTTTGTGTTTCCTTGGGGTTTGCTTGTGAGCACTATGAGGACAGAAGCACAGAGCACAGAACAGGTGCTCAGTTGACTTCTGAGGCACAGACGCAAGGCTGGGGATCGGGGCAGCCTAGGCGTGGGCAAAAGAGGCCCCCTCCACACCGGCTGTGTGCTTCCAGCAGGTTTCCCCTGGTTCTTAGGGGCTGGTGTGTCGCGTGAGGGTGAGGTATGTTGCCTCCTGGGGGTTGTCCTCTGGTGATATTTTTATTTATTTATTATAGAGTCGTGGGGTACAAGTGGGGATTTGCTGCAGGCGGGTGAGGTTTGGGCTTCTAACTGGCCCTCTTTCCCCCGATAGTGGGCCAGGTACTTGGTGTGTGGCCACTTGCCACCCACCCCCACTCCCTAGCAGTGCCCAGCGGCTGCTGGTCCCACCCTTGTGCTCATGTGACCAGTGATCAGGGCCCACTTATGAGGGAGAACACACAGTCTTCAGTTCTGTTTCTGTGATCGTTCCCTTTGTATGATGGTCTCCCGCCGTATCCAAGTTGCTGCGAAAGCCACGATTTTGTCCTTTATGGCTGTGTAATATATCTTCTGGTGATTTTTGAACCATTTCTGTGCACCAGAAGGACACATCCTGGGTCCTCGGGCATGGAGGAAGAAGCCAGCAGGGGATGGAGGTGGAGTCTGCAGTGTCTTGAAGCCCCTCTCTCCTGGGATCCTCGCAGGCCTCAGGGCCACGGTGTGGCCCAATAAGAAGAGTCCTGGGACTAAAGGGGGGAATGTGGCCCAGGTCCCCTCATCCTCTCGCCCGCTCAGATAGCCGCTAGGACGGGTATCCAGGAGGTGGGGTCCACCTCTCACAGACACAAGGACCTGCTGCTCTGTCAAGGTGCGCATGGACAGAAGGATACTGAGCTGGAGTCAGCTCTGTATGCCAGCCTCCCCACCCCCGTGAATCCCAGGCAAGTCCCCTCTACTCTCTGGGCCCCAGTTTCCCTGTCTGGACCATGGACACGCGCTTAGGGCCCTTCTGGCCCTGACATCCAAGAGGCCTGCGTAGGCGCCTGGGACATGTGTGCTGCTTCCCCTCCACCCCCAGGAACCTGGGGGGCAGCGCCGGGAGCGTGGGAGAGCCAGATGTGGTGGCCGCTGGCCCTGCCGAGCGCCGAGCTGGCCTCCTGGGAATTCTCCCACTCAGGCTCCCTTTCCGGCCCTCTCCCCCGCCCCACTGAGAGCTGTTGCTTCCGGCTCTGACAGGCGTGGGTGGGGGTCCTAGCAGGGGGGTCCTTCAGTCTGGTTCCCTTCTTTGGGGAAGAGCTCGGGCCTTGATTCCAACTCCAGGCTGTGACTGAGGTATCACAAGGCTTTCAGAGCCACCTTCTGTCACCGGCCTCAGTCATTGTGGCTGTGAAGTGGGCTGTTCGACGGGCCTCCCTCCAGCTCTGAGCGTGGGCTCCTGTGAGCCTGAGGGTCAGCCATCTTTTGGGAGTCTTTCTTGCTCTGCTCCGGGGCTTGCACAAAATACCCGAGTGCAGGGCCTACCCAGGCCTCTCCACCACCCTTAGAGGCATACACATGTGTCTCCATTTCACAGATAAAGGCACTGAGGTTTGGACTGCAGAGGTGAGACAAGGACCCAGCGTCACACGGTGAGAAGGGATGGAGCCGGGTTGGACCTACTGCCATCAGAGCCCAGTCACTTAACGCTGCATGCCACCATGTTGGAATGGGCGGCACTGCACCCCCAGACCCAGAGCCTCCCCCGACCCCCATCCTAGACTCCCACCCTCCATGCTCTGCTCCCTGCTGTCAGCCCAGCTTTCCCAGGACAGGTTGCCTGAGGCGGGACGGGGCTCCCAGCATCAGGGCAGCTGGCAAATTGGCCACGGCTTGTCCTGTCCACACCGGGGTGGGGGCCCTGCTGACTCCCTCAGCATGATGGGGCTGCACTGCCCCTGCGGTGCCTTGCCTATTTTGCCAGAGTGCACAAGGGGAAACTGAGGCCCAGAGCAGAGAGGGCTCGGCCCGGCACACACAGCGATGCAGTGCTACTTGCGTGAGGGAGATTCACCGTCTCAATCCCGGCACCTCCAGGCACCAAAGCCGCTAGAAATCCCAGCAAACTCATGGATCTGTCTTGGAATCATCTCCATTTCCCAGAGGGGGAGACTGAGGCCCCGGAGTTTAGGCGACCTGCCCAAGGTCCTGCAACTGGAAACTGGGGAAGCTCTGTCTCTGGTTCTGGAATCCGCCCTGTCAGTCATGGCATTTCTGCCTCAGTCGTCCTGCCCTGGTTGAGTGCCCGTGGTGCCCCGTGCCTCCCCCCACATCAGTCGAGAGGAATGACAGCTCTGGTGCCCGCCAAGGGTTAATGGTGGTGGGGCTAAGTGATTCCAGATGGGCTAGCGGCCGGCCGGTGGGGCTGGCCGGAAACCAGAGGCCGCCAGCTTCCCGAGGGAGCCACCACCAATGGCCCCTCCCTTTGCGATACTTTTCTGGCCCCCAGCTGTACCCCTGCCCGCCGGCTCCTCTCCCTGGCCAGGTCAGCTCTAAGGGAAACTGCAGACACAGCACTTCAAGGACCTCCCAGCCCAGTAAACCCAGCCCCTCCATGTGCAGATGGGAACACCGAGGCTCGGGCACGCAGGGGACCTACCCAAGGTCTCCCACGAAGGCTGTGGTGAGGCCTTCTGACGCCCAGACTGTCTTCTTGGGGCCTAGGGGGTCGACATGCCTCCTGGCTTCCCCTGGGCCGTCCTGGCCGCAGGCGTTCAGCCTTGGAAGCAAATGACAAGGTGGATGCTGGGAAGGGTTTGTGTGTTGCTCGTGGAGACTGTGGGACCCGGAGCCTTTGGTGTGCCTGACCCTGTGCCCTGTTCCCCTATGACCCTGCTGCCACCAGGCCCTGCCAGGGTCCTCTCTTGCAAGATCCTCACAGCCTCAGCCCTGGTTGGAGCCAGGCTGAGAACACTTCTTCCATGTGGCCCAGCCCGGGTGTTGTGTGGGCAATTCTGATTGGGACCAGATCAAGAAATGACTGGGAGACACATGACGGGTTGGCACAGAACCTCAGCTCAAGCAAGTCCCTGCTCTGTGGACGGCGCCCAGGTGCAGAGGGCAGAGCTCGTCTGTGTGACCTGGGACACCTTTCTTTCCCTCTGGGACTCAGTTTCCCCATGTGTATAGCAGTGGGTCGGCGTGGCTGTGCTCAACTCTCAAAGCCCATTTATTTATTGGTTTATTTACTTAGACACGGAGTCTTGCTCTCTGCCCAGTGCAGTGGTGTGATCATAGCTCACTGCAGCCTTAAACTCCTGGGCTCAGGTGATCCTCCCACCACAGCCTCCTGAGTAGCTGGGACTGCAGGGGTGTGCCACCACAGCCAAATAAGCCCTTTTAAAACAATGTCCCTGGCGTCTGAGGGCTAGGCATCTGTGGTGGAGACGTCTTCTGAACTGAGGAGGTTAGGGCAGAAGAAGAGGCCTGGGGACCTGGGGCAGCCTGGCCTGCTCCAGTGGAGGATGGAAATGGAACCCGAGACACTGGAAATACCTTGTTGAGTGACTGAATGGAGAGTCGAAGGGGTAGCCTAGGAGGGAGCCAGCAGGAGGGCAGTCTGCACTGGAATGCAAGTCTTGAGTGGGGGGGTCACGTGACCTGTGTGCCTTTTGTCATGTGACACACAAGACCCGGTTCTGCATTGGCTCCATCCCTGTCATGTGAGCTTGGGAAGCTCTTTCTGCTCCTCTGGGCCTCAGTTTCCTGGTCTATAAAATGGATCCAATAATCCTTTCCTGGCACCACAGAGGCTTTGAGATGCTGAAAAGAGTATGTCTGGAAATCTAAAGAAATGTGCTGGGTAACCTGGGGCAGGTTGCTGTGCCAGCTCTCCTGGGGCCTTGGTTTCTCCTTCTGAAATGTGAAGATCCTCTCAGAGGCTCTCTCCATCGCACTCACATCACCTCTTCTCAGACGTGCACTCTGTTTCTCAGGCCTCAGTTGGGTGTCCCTCTAAACACACACCTCGCCCCTGCCCTCCTGCCGGGTGCCTGTGTGTCCAGGGCATGTCTCTCCCACTAGCCCAGTCATGATGTCAGGGTCTGTGGGGTTCACGCTTCTGCCTCCGGCACCCAGGACAGTGTCAGGGCCCAGTGTGCTCGGCATGATGTTAGTGGAAGGGTGTTGACCCGGACGGCCCCAGAGGTGATCAGAGCCTGCTTACAGATAGGGAAACGGAGGCACAGTGACAGGGGAGGCCGCCCCCTGAGACGGGGCCAGGCCACTCTAATAAAAGTGACTCAGTGGCTGGTGGCTGGCGTGGGCTGCGGAATGTTTAAACATCCCCTCACATCCTGCGCGGACGGGCGCCGGACGGAGCACGAGGGGAAAGTAGAAGAAAAACAAGAAACTTGGGGAAAAGAAAGAGAGGGGAAAAAACTGAAATTGAAAACAGACGCACGCGTCCACCCTCCCTGCCCACCGCCCCCCTTCTCCCGGCCGGGCCAATCAGAGGCCGCCCTGCAGCCTTTCCCCCAAAGGGGGGGCCCGGGAAGCCACAGTGGGGTGAGCGCCGGGGGCTGCCCGCTCCCGCAGTCCCTGCCCCCCACCACTGGGGACCCAGGGCCGCTTAACGAGCAGCTCAGAGCCAGAGAGGAGATCAGCCCGGGCCAGAGCCCGAGAGCGCCCCCCCCAGCTGCCGCTTTCGCCTGCTGGCCCACCGACAGCGGGACCGCGGCCCCTCCGAGGCTCGGCTCCTCCCGAGGATGCTTTGGGAGTGAGAAGCTGGGCAGCTCCTCACCCTGTGGCTCCCCTCCCTCCCTCTGTCCCGAGCCTCCGGGAGCCTGAACGTCCCTCCTGCTCTTCCACCCAGCTGCTGCCGTGTGGGGTCCAGCAAAGTTTTCTGATATCGAGGAGAAGGCAGTAAGGAGGGCTTCCTGGAAGGGGTGCCCATCCAGGGCCTGGGACCGTGCCCACCGCAGAAACCATCAGCAGCAAGGTAAGTGCTAGGAAGGGGGACCCGGCCCCGTGCCTTGTCCCCTGTCCCTAGCCTGCGCCTCTTTGGGTAGGTAAAAAAAAATGGAAAATATTTTTAACAAAACCAGATGGGAGGAGGCTAGGAGGCTGCGGTGATTTCAGGGCTGGAGAGCACATCCTCTCCTCCCTCCTGCTCTGGGTCGGTGGCCTCTGCCCCCCACCGTGCTGCTTTGCCCCGTGGAACAATCCCCAGAGATCTCGGGAGTACGTGGGGGCCTCCGACTCCCAGCACAGTCTAGGGGATGGGATACCTGGGAGGCAGGAGACGGGAGCTGGGAGAGGGCGAGCGGGGTGCGTGGTGAGGGTCTAGCAGGGGTCTGGGGACCTGGGACCGCAGCTCCTGCCCCTTGGCCTCAGCCTTGCTGGTAAGAATCAGTCTGGCTTAGGGCCAGTCCACTGCCAGGCAACCTTTGGGGATTGAAATGGATTTGCAAATTTTCCAGATTCCTAAGATGTCCTTCCAAACCCCCAGCATAGAAAAGTTCCAGGGCTAGGAAAGTTCCAGGCCAAGAGGGCACCTAGCGGCCAGGCCGCTGGGGCTGGGGGCGGGTCGGCTGTCGGGTCTGGGGGCTCCTCTGTGGAGGGGGACAGCCGGGGGCATTTCCTTGGCTCTAGGTGGCTGCTCAGGCTTCCTCAGTTCTCCCGCCTCTGAACTATGCTCTGCTCCACGCCGTCCTAAAACTCCAGTTCAATCGCACCCCTCCCTGCTCAGTGCTCCTAGTGCCTGTGGAAAGCCCCGGCCCTGCCAGTGGCTGTCTCTGGCTGACACGCTGGGCGCCTGTGCCGAGTGCTCTGAGAATCATCCCGTGTGATGCTCACTGGCGGCAGGGACTGCTTCTACCCTGCTTCACTCATGGGGAAACTGAGGCTTACAGTAGCCACACAATAAGCACACAACTAATGCCTGGCAGAGCCTGGAGAGGGTGTCAGCTCTTCTGTCCCTTGTCCCCAGGCTGGGTCTGTTGTTCCCGCCTGTCAGATCCCAGCCTTCCCGGGAGGAATGTACACCCTCCGGCCCGTGGGCACCAGCCCTCCCCCCAGCTCCTGCTAGGAATGTCCTTCCTCATCACTTTTCTTTCAAGGCTCCACCTCTTCCAGGCAGCCCTCGCCACTCTCCTGGTGCTCTCCTGGTGCTGGCCTGCACTTCCTGCTGGGCCCATTGGGCCTTTCCTTCTGTCTGCTCTGTTGTATGTCAGAGGCTGTTCAGATCCAGCCTTCCCTGTCTTGCTTTCGGCCCCCAGTTCCCAGCTTGGGAGGCCCATGGGGCAGAGAAAATGCGCTGGCAAAAGGGAGGAGGGACTCACTGAGGACATCCCATCCCAAGAGCAAGCCCAGGACCTAGGCCTCTTGCCTTCCAGGGGCCTCCCTGACACCCTGTGGCACCTCCGACTGCATTTTTCTGTTGCTAGAAGGAGTGTCTCTGCCTGCCTGTGACCACTGAGGGCATAGAGGTTTCTAGCAAGAGGTTCTGAAGTCAGGCAGTCCTCTCTTGTCTCCAGGCAGGAGACCCTGAGCCCATAGCATCTGGGGATAGTCCCGAATTCTCACCCCATCTGGGCACGGAGTCTGGTCCCCTACACACACTGTAATCCTCAGAGCAAGTCACTGTTACCCCCATTTTGCAGATGACGAACCTAAGGCTGGAGAGGCTGAGTGACTTTCTCTGGGTCACACAGTTAGTAGAGTCAGAATTCAGACCCAAAGGCCCAGCCCGTGCTTCCCAGGCAGTTTCTGGTCAAAGGGGAGCGTCTTCGTCCTCCCCAAAGCCTGCTCCCAGCCCAGCAGAAAGCGCAGCCTCAGGTCTGATGGCCCCATGTCCGCCCTGTCCCTGGCCTGGACCCGAGAGGAAGGAGACCATCTGGTACACGCCCTCTCTCAGACGGTGGTTCCCAGGCAGCCCCCACCCTCTGCGGGAAGAAGAGCCGGGCTTATAATTGCCCGCAGATGTGGGGCAGGCAGCAGAAGGCATGGGGGACTCAGTCAGGAGGCCCGGCGCCTGCCTTGGCTCTGTTCAAACCCACTGTGTGGCCAGTCGCAGACACCCGCACCCCCTCCAGGTGAGTCCACAGCTGTGGGCACTGGGCTTGGCATCAGGTTATCACGCGCCAACCCCCGTGCAGCTTCTGGCTGTGTGACCCTGGGTCGGCACCCTGCCTCTCCGGGCCTGTCTCCTCCTCTGGGAGCCTCAGGGCGCGGCAGTCTCTTTGAGGAGGCCCCACAGGTAAGGCCTGGTAGCACGGGTCCTGCGCTGCACAGGTGGACCGCGGGCCGCTGGCTGAGGCAGGGCCGTACTCCTGCCTCCTGCACAAGACCGTTGGGCTGTGAAATCGGTCAGCAGCCCATCAAGGGCTAAGCCTGCAGAAGGGACCTGGACACCAGGTGTATCCCAAAGGCATTGGCTGTGAACCCCTGGGCACTCTGGGCATGGCTCAGGACAGGCTGCTGAGAATGGTGGAGAGGGACGGGGATGGAAGGCTCCCCGGGCACCCTGGAAGTGCCAGCCATGTCTCCCACTCGATTCAGAACCTGGGGGCAGTGAGTCCTCAGGTTGAGACGCTCTCATCGTCCCCCCTCCTACCTGGGGGAGGGAGGGGAGGGAAGGGGCAGACTCGTAGCGCCTAGGCCAGGGGCCATGTGGGCAGGATGGTAGAGCAGGACCCCTCTGGACACTTTTGGGTGGCCTTCAGTTATGCTTTATATCCATGCTCGGTGTCCACACTCCACAGCATCTAGAACCCGCCTGGCCCAGCACCTTCTTTATTTTTCTTCTTTCTTTTTTGTTTCCGAATCAGGTCTTACTCTGTCACCCAGGCTGGAGTACAGTGGCACGATCACGGCTCACCGCAGCCCTGACTTCCTGGGCTCAGGTGATCCTTCTGCCTCAGTCTCCCAAATAGCCGGGACCGCAGGCATGGGCCATCACACCCGGCTAATTTTTTAATTTTTATTTTTGTAGAGATGAGGTCATGCCACGTTGCCCAAGCTGATCTCAGACTGCTGGGCTCAAGCAATCCTCTCACAAATGCTGGGATTACAGGCGTGAGCCACCGCACCCAACCCTGAACCATTGCACCCAGTCCAGCACCTTCTTCATAGATACTTGCTGGACTCACCGAATCACTGCCACAACCTTGAGGAGTAGACACAAACTCTCCCTATTGCACAGATGAAGAAACACCCAGAAAGGTTAAATCAGTTGCCCGAAGTCCCACAGCCAGGCAGTGGTGGAGCTGGGATTTGCACCCGCGTGTTTCTGACTCCAGAGCCCCCTGTGGCGAGAGGCTGGGTGGGGCCTGGGCACCCCAGGGACCCGTGTAAACTCTGGGAACGTGCCTTAGCTGCAGGGGCCCTCGGCGTCATGGGGGCCCTTGGTATCCCAGAGGCCGTCGCTGGACCCCAGAGCCCTGTGCGACTGTGGGCACGTCGGTCCTTCTGGGGCCTCAGTTTTTCCATCAGTCAAACAAGGAGGTTGACCCAGATGAGTGTGACACTCCCTCCAGCCCTACAACAATTTCAGGATTCCAGGCCATGCCGGCCCAGATTGGCAGCCGCACAAGCTTCGCTGTGTACCCAAGATCATGCATATTTAACTCCACAATGAAAGGGTTTTTTTTTTTTATCCTTTATCTACACATTACAGAAAGAGGTCGGGATCGATGGCCACTAATGGAAAACGTTAACCCACAGTAACGAGGAGGAACTTTCAGCAATTAGAGCGGCCCCTTAATGGGATGCTTCTCGGGAGCTCCGAGGCATGTTCCCACAGAGCCCGCGTGCCCGTTTTCCTGGGACACTGAGCAAGGAGGGTGGGAAGGGATCTGGGAGAGGCTGTGTGGACCCCGTGATGCTCTAGGGCCCTTCCAGGGCTGAGTTTTCAAAACTCACATGCTCGGATTTGAAGAGGAGGCAAGACCTTGGCCTAGACAGACGGACACAGAGACCCACCTCTGCTGGGAGTGGGTGTGGTGCTCCCGCCTGTTCCAGTGCAGAAGCCCACCTCACATCTCTCCTGAGTGCTCAGACCCAGAGCCTCAGGAGAAAAAGTTTCCTGTAGGCCCTGGTCCTGACCCCAGAGAACCCCTCCCCCGACACTTCCTGCCCCTGCAGTCTGGTGCAGGAGGCTGGAAATCAAAGCAGAACACTTTAGCTGCAATTGTGTCCTCTCTCTTCTCTTCAGATCAGGTCTGTTTGATGTCTCTGGTACCTGAAACCTTTCATCTGCCAGAGGTACCAGCTTCTCCGCCTTGTGATGGGGAGGGCTGTCTGTTGGGAGGGCCAGGGGGTCAGAAAGTTCCCACATATTAGAGATGAAAAGGACTTTTGGAGTCACCTGATTGGACTTCCTTACTCGAGGAGTGGGAAACTGAGGTCCAGAGAGGGGTCATCAGAGATGGTGCTGAGCCCGGGATCCAGCTTCCCTCTGTCTCTCCGCAGGGGCTGTGTCTTTACTACCCTCTAAGGCCTGGAAAGGCCCAGTTCCACCTCTGTAGCCTGGGGCTCACCCTCCAGGTCCCTCTGGGGGAGGCCAGAGGACAGAGTTTGGACTGAAGAGGTCGAGAGGCCATCCCAACCAGAGACAGAAGCCCTGATCCCTGAGCCTTTGGTGGCATCACTTCATTCTGGCCAATTTCCTCTTAGGTAAAGTGGGAGAGGCCGTGAGAGAAGCTCCACGACCCCCAGTGCTTCATCAGGCTCTACCCTTGGCCCCTGAAGAGCCTGCCCGGCTTCTTATGGCCATTTGACCGCATCCTTGCTGCCCTGGTTACCTTCCCTTCTGGGAAGCGAAAACCCAAGAGCTGTGACCCTCCCACCTGGCTTCTCCACTACTGAGGCTGAGCCTACATGGGTATTATGGGATGGGGGCTTCAGTTGGCTCCCGAGGGGCAGGGATCAGATCTCAAACATGCCGCAGAAGCCCCGGCCCCTCCCAATCCAGAGCCTTGACAGTCAGGGCTTGGGTTT